ATGCATGAGCAGGGCTTGATGGCTCATGCCTTTTATCCCAGCACTCTGGAGGATCTCTGTGAGTTCAAAGCCATTCAGATCTATGTAGCAAGTTCCAGGCCATCCTGTGAGTCTACAAAATACCAAGAAAAAGAAATGTATGATTTCCTTGTCTGTACTAAGAGAACTGCAAAGCAGATAGTTTTGGTTAAGAGAAATCCAGGTTTAACCGGTATTGGTAGTCAGGTGTGACGGCCCCAGCCTTTCATCTCAGTTCTCAGGAGTGGTGAGCAAGAAAACTAAGTTTGGCCCGGCTGAGGTGGAACACACCTTTAATCCCAGCACTAGGGAGGCAGAGGCAGGGGGATCTCTGTGATCCAAGGCCAGCTTGGTCTACAAGAGCTAGTTGTAGGACAGTCTCCAAAGCCACAGAGAAACCCTGTCTGAACCCACCCACCACCCAAAAAGACTAAGTTTGGAGGCTTCCTGGGCTGTGTATTGAGACAATTTTGGGGGAGGAGGAGGAAAAGAAGGAGAAGGAGGAGGAGGTGGAGGAGGAGAAGGAAAGGGGTGGGGTACTTGAGGAGAAAGAAAAGGGGAAGCAGAGGTTGTAAGGGCTTCCCACCTAAACTGCTGGTGGAAGTGTTTTCTAGGTTGAGGTGGTTTTGTTTTTGTTTTGTGTGTATGTGTCTTGTCTGCATGTGTGTCTGTGCACTATGCATGTGCCTGATGCCCTGAGACTGGAGTTACAGAATTATAAGCTGACAAGTATATATGGCTGCTAGGACTCAAACTTGGGTCCTTAGGGAGAGCAGGCAGTGATCTTAACCAATGAGCCATCTTGCCAGCCCAGCACTTTCTAGTTCTAAATTGGAACTTGGAAGCACACTTCAAATGCTAAAATAAGATCTGTTGCCAAAATAAAAGCAGCACTGGAATCATTTCTTATCACAATATCAAAATGCCCACTTGATTTCTTTTAGCCACAACAAAAGTGATCACCGCTCAGGGACAGCTTATTTTTTGTGCTGTATTTTTCTCACAGAGAATGCTTGCTTATAAGGTTATTGCAAGCAGAGCCCTTTCCAGATGAGGCTTGAGAAACTAACAAGTTTCACAGTCTTCTATTGACTTAGTAGTTAAAGGGAAAACTTTCACTGCTTTTTTGTTAGCAATAATACAAATAAAACTTGGGGTGAATGTTTGCACAAGAGTACAAATAGTGTTTATTCATAGTTGAGGCAAAGCATGACTGATTTTATGGAAGGTGTCAGCTGCCTCTCCATATTCTATGTGATGCTACACAAGTAGAACCCAGTATCTTCTATTGAGAAACTGCTTTCATCAGCATTTCTGGTTTCTAACTGAGCAATACTAGGATTTTAGTGATGTCATTGGCATTCAGAATTTTTCATTTCCCTCGCATTCCAAGATCCAGGAAATCTGTAACAAATGCCATTGAGAGAAGCCTTCATTTATTTGAAGCACTGTTAATTCTAAATAAAAGAACCCCCAAATTCTTGACCTTTCAAATAATCCATTGAATGAAGTCTATTCACTTCTTGTTGAGTTTCCATGTCAATTTAGCAACAGGATTATGCAAATTGAAGAGCAAAGAGTATCACTGGAGTACTCCACTGCTAAAATAACAAGTGGTGACAAAGCTCCTTTTTGTCAAGTGGCATCATTTTTACAAAGTCATTGGTCAGGAGAGACCTTATACCCCCTATAGCACTGAAAAGAGGGTGATGCTCCACAAATGTGTTATGCGCTCTAGCCAATAAAATCTGGACCACATGTCTTAGCACTGTTAAATCTAAGCCAAGACATGTACAATATTCTGGTTCAGGTGATACAGTCTTGAGCACGGTTTTTCATTAGTGAATATTTAATGGCCAAAGGAACTAAGTTGAGTCTGGGAAGGGAACTTGGTGGATAAAAATGCTTGCTGTGAAAATATGAGGACCTGAATTCGAATCCTCTAGGCCTGCAAAACAAAACGATACTTTTAACTATAATCCCAGTTACTCTTGTGAGAAGATGACAGGCAGAGACAAGAGAATCCTTGGAAGCTCATGGGCCAGCTAGCCTGACCTGTTATTCAGCAGACTATCAAAGAGACCCTGAACCTAACCCAAGGTTGGCCTGCCCCCCCTGCAGGAGCCTACACACACACACACACACACACACACACACACACACACACACACACACACACACCCTACATCTGATGTGGCACTGGGAAGCTATGGTAAATTGTTAGTGGAACACAGACTATGACTGCAAGAATTTTTTTCAAGAAAATTCTGCAAAATCATCTAGAATTAAGATTAACCAAACCATCAAAGAAACAAAGGTATATGCCTAAGACATTTATAATTTTTTCAGTGTGAATAATTTTTGACTTGTTTGGGTATAGCATATTTTTCTTTTATCTTAGCGCACACATGCATAAAAATTAGAAATAATACAAATGTATCACAGTATCTCATGTTTTTATTTATTAAGTATAGACCCTGCTTCCTCGGTGCAAGTACCTCTGTGCCTTTTTTCACGTCAGGCTGCATGCATCCCTCCTCCTCTACAAAATCTAATACTATTTCTTCTTTTGTTTTTTTTTTACTTATTTTTTATTGTTCAAACTAACTCAAAATCTTAGGAATGACAGTAGAAATACCTTAATGTTTTAAGTATGCCAAAGCATTTACTTCTCTGTAGAGCCGTCACTCTCAATACTAACAGTTCATGAACCTGCCCCATACTGTATCTCTTCTGGCATTTGACCTGCCTTTCTGGATCATGTTTGAGCCACACCATCAACAAGTTCTTTGATTTTCATTTCTTTGTGGTGGAGTCTACAGTAACTATGTTTGTGTTCACCACCCCATAACTTTTTTGTTGTTGTTTGAGATAGGTTTCTCTGTGTAGTCCTGGTTGTCCTGGAACTTGCTCTGTAGCCCAGGTTGGCCTCAAACTCAGAGCCTTGCCTGCCTCTACCTCCTGAGTGCTGGGATTAAAGGTGTGTGCTCACCACAGTTTAGTTGAACCTGCTTTCTTATAGACTCACAGTGGACTGGGCCCACCCATACAGCTCACTAATTTTAAAAAAAAATGCTCTAAAGCTACATAGAGAAACCCTTTCTCAACCACACCACCACCTTAAAGCTGATTGTTGCACTTGGTGGCACCTATCTTTCATCTCAGCATTCAGGAGGCAGAGGCAGGTGGATCTCTGAGTTCAAGGCCAGCCAGCCTGGGCTACACAGAGAAACCCTTGTCTCTAATATATACCCTCTACATGCAAAAAATAAGAGGAAGAAGAAGAACAAGAAGAAAAAATTCTCTACAGGCATACCTACAGTCCAATCTTAGGGAGGCATTTCTCAATTTAGGTGACTCTAGACTGTGTCAAGTTGACATAAAGTTAGTCAGCACAGACATCTTCCAGCAATTGAGGGCAAGCTCTTGAAGAGACTGTTGGGTCCTAATAGACTTTTTTTTTTTTTTTTTTGAGGCAGAGTATCATTCTCTAACACTGGTGGCTGGCCTCGAACTCACTGTCTACATGTTGGCTAGCCTTGAAGTCACAGTGACACTGCTTCCCAAGTATACCACCAGCTTGGTGCAAACCTTTTCTTCCCCTTTCTGTTGGGAGCTGTGTGACCTTGTTTTGGACCAGTACATGAGAGCTTGTCCAGTGGATCTTCAGATGAGGCAAAAGACCACAAGGGTAGTCTCACTTGGCAAGGACCAGTGGACTTTGGGACAGCGTAGAATACTGCTGGGACTGTGTGGCCTGCATGCTCTCGTCTCTTCTCTTGTGTAATATTGATGATTGTCTTGGTGTTTTTACTGTCATTTTGTCAATCATGCATAGGACAGATGTGATCATTCTTGGAAACACCACTTTTCCTCAAATATTTTCCCCTAAAATTCTTGGGAGCTGATGCTTTTCAGGTCTCTTGTCTGGGGTTGCCAGCTTTCACTCCAGACCTTAGGAGCTGTTCTGATTCAGTGCTGACAGGATCGGAGGCAGATTACCCCTATTTCTCTAAATATGCTTTGAACAGGATTGTTGATCTTGAAAATGTGCGCTTATGTCAATCACCTTTTAGTTTTGTAAAGACAGAATGTACCTGGCTCGATATTTGACCAAGCCAGCAAAATGATAAGTGTTGTTTTGGATTAAAGATGTTTTGATGTAGAAGTTGAGAAAAAACATTTGACATATTTGGTTTTGCTGGAGGCTAATGTTTGAGGATGGCAAAAACTTGTTAGCATGAAAAAATATGCTTGTTTTTGATGTGTAAATAAAGATGGCTTGGGGCTGGCCACTTGTGTGAAACTCATCTGGTGGTCGGACAATTTCTTCTCCTCGACGCCCTTTCCCCATCTCAGTACTTGAACCCAGGCTGCGGTGGGACCCACATCATTTCTCCTCTTCCTCCTCCTTCTCCTTCTCTTTTCTCCCTCCCTCCTTTCCTCCCTCCCTTCCTCACTTCTGTATTTCCTGAGGGTTGAACTTAGGACCTCACACATGCTAGGCAAGCACTTCACTATTGAATCACATCTAATCAAAACCTTCCCTTCATATAAGCTGATTATCTTGGGGCTGTAGAAATGACTCAGCTGTAAGACTTTTTATATTGCTTTTGCAGAAGACACAAGCTCAGCTCCTGGCACCTAGGTCAGGTGGCTTCCAACTGCATATAACTCCAGCTCCAGAGGATCTGATGCCCTCTTCTGGACTCTGAGGGCACCTGAATTCATGCATGTACACACACACGCACGCACGCACGCACGCACGCACGCGCACACACACGCTCACACAAACACCCAGTCTTTTTAAAGAAGTTGATTATCCTAGACATTTGTTACAGCAATACAAAGCTAAGGCATAGAGTTAGCATACATATGAACATTGTAACTGACCATATTTGTAAGCATTACAGGTTGGATGGAAAGGTATTCTGGCAGCCAGAAGCCAAGGAATATCACAAAGTCACACTGCACAACAAACCTCACACAAGAGATTTATTGGGAGGGAAAAAACCAGGAGGGCGGCTGCCTCTGCTTGAACAAGAAACCGCAGCAAACTGAACAGAATACAGGGCTTGTGTAGAGTTTCCTGGGAAGCAAGTGGAACTTTTCAGGGTGGAGCTTTCCAGGTTGGTGATTAGTGGGATTTCATGTCCACAGATTGCGCTTTTTACTCTGTAGGTTGGGGCAGGGTCCAGCAGTTAGGACAGAGTATTCTGTGGGTGGAACCTGGCAGTTAGAGGTCCTTGTGGGAGGGGCCTGGCCACTTGTGTGGTTTGAGAGGCTTATAATATCACTGTAGTAAAATGTTTGAAACAATCATACTTAAAGGGAGTTCAGAGAAAGCACTTTAAGAATTTTTGGAAATGAGTGGAGCTCATCACCATCTTAAAGCCTAGAGCAGTTGGCACCTAGCCCTGTGCTCTTTCATAAAGCTGTTTCCCAGGGGTTGTATGGGTTAGCAGTTCTGATACTGTTACACGTGTACTAGAATTGAACAGATAAATTGATGGATGGTATCTAAAAGTATGTTTATAAAGTGAAATATTATTGTCTTAGGAGGAAATTCACACTCTAACACGAGTGAACCATGCAGACACTGTTACATGAAACAAGTCAATGTACTGAGACTAGCCTTCTGAATCCCAGCCAGGGTGACTCCATTTTGTTGCAAGCTACAATTTATCTGATATACTGGCCAGACTGCAATAAAACAAGACAGTCAAACAGTCTGCTGAGACCAGAGACTCCCTGATAAGAGAAAGGTCAGAAGACATGTGAACAGATACTTTTGCCAGAGTCTGGCCCTGTCTGTGTTGCCTTGACACTGGGTGGTGCGCAAAGCTAAGCTTGCACTTGAGTCATAGAAAACAGAGGCTTTGTAGCCATGTGTGATCAGCTAAACTCACCAATCTGTAAGTAACCCAAATAAACTCATTTTACCCAGCAGGTAAGCTTGAATGAGTCATTCTTTGGACTGTTGGTGCCATCTCAGTTTGGAGGCAGATATTAATTTTATATTTCCCCTGGAGAGTCATCTAGCAGCACAACACTGCACAAAAGAACACATAATGCTTTGTTTACTTACATGAGCAATCTAGAATAGCCAAAGACCAAAAACAGAAAGTAGAAAAGTAGCTGTCAGGGACTGGGGATGGGTGGGTAGGGCAGAGGCAAAGAGGAAATGGGAAGCTGTTGTTAGTGGGTATACACTTCCAGTTTGGCCAAATGAAAAAGTTTACAGTTGGAGCATGGAGATATAGGCCTGTAATCCCAGCACTTGGAGAGCTGAGATGGGAGGACCAAGAGTGCAAGACCCTGAGCTGGGGTGTATAGCTTAGTGGGAGAGCATTTGCCAAGCAAACATGAAGTCCTTGGTTCAATCTCTAGGACCTCAAAAAAGGTAGTGAGTGTGTTTGTGCTCAAGGCCAGCCTGGGCTATGTAGCAAGACCATGTCTCAAAAATAAAAAAAGTTCTAGAGATTGACTGTACAGCATTGTGAATATATTTAGCACTACTGTAGATGATAAGTGACCATTTGCTTGAGTTACTGCCTCAAAAGCATGAGACATTTCTGATTCTCTCCAAGCTAGCTGACTCCAGGATTTCCAGGCTTAACAAAGGTCAGATACTGGTTCCCTCCAGAAGGGATAACTCAAGGGAGATGGGGTCAGCTGCAGAGTCACCCTCTTCTTTTGGGAAAGATCTGGATGTAGATGCTGCAGGCCAGGCCGGTGCTTCTGGATGCCTTTGGAGATTGGTGTCGGAACATCTACAGTCCTCATACTGAGATGCAATTTCTGATTACATTTAAAAGCAGTTAAAAAATACTGACTTTAGGGATGCCAAAAACCAAGTTCCTGAGATTGTAAAGGTATGTACTCCATGGATTCCACCACCTATGCTCTCAGCAGACAAGATCATCATGAATATAGTCTGTGGAAGAGAAAAATGAGCCTCTAGGTCTGTCCGCAGTAAAACTGGTCAAGAGAACTAAATATAGTCACTGTATACATGATGACATGACAATTCCTTAGGATGGTTAAGGGGAAGGTTTTTATTGTAGATATGAGACAACAGCCAGAGGCATCTGAAGGAATCAAGAGCAGAGAAAGTAGTAGCCTGGACACGGACAGCAGACTGGACATGGCCAGGACTATAATAGCAGGGGATAGAGAATAGAGAAAACATAGTGAGAACAGCAGGGTTATAAGGGGAATGAGAAACTGTGTGTTGGGAGAGGCTGTGAGCTGGAGGCATTAGGGTAGGGAAGAAGGTTAGAAGGGCTATGATGCTACCATGGACTTTGAAACCTGTAGCAGGTATTTGTGATGTCAGCATGAGGTCTGATATGCTGATAGGCTCCCAGGTAGCCATATGTCCCCTCTGCCAGAGGAATACTGGCTTTTATCTAACCACCAGAAATCCTCCTATAGTTCGTGTGAGTTCATTTCTGGATATTTGGGCTCCCGTTTGAAGTTCGGGGAATTGGAGTTTCCTTTCGACCTAACAGTCACCTCATGGTTTGAGGAAGTCCATGTCACCAAAAGACAGACTGAGACTCCTTCAGACTTTTGTTAATGGAAAGCCAGATGAATTTAGAAGATCTTCCCTGATATGAGAGCTTACCATGGTCTAGGACAGTGGTTTTCAACTCTCCTAATGTTACGACCATTTAATACAGTTCCTTATGTTGTGATGACCCTCAACTATAAAATTATTTTTGTTGCTACTTCATAACTGTAATGTTACTATTGTTATGAATCACAATGTAAATATTTGATATGCAGGGTATCTGATACGTGACTCCCATGAAAGGGTCAATCAACCCCAAAGTGTTGATACCCACAGGTTAAGAACTGATAGTCTTGACTGTCCAAAAACCATGAGGCCACATATAAATATGTGCATTATAAAATGTTAACAGTCACACCTGAGTCTTGAAAGGGTCACTTGAGCCCATGTTTTTTTTTTTTGTAAAATACTTTATATTGTTATGTCTTTATTAACGTGTTACCTTGGGTATGAACAAAAAAGGAAAGGTTGCAGTTATGTGGCAAGTTGACAAGGGGTCAACTGTGCTGGCTAGTTTAATGTCAACTTAATACAAACTATAGTCATCTGAGAAGAGGGAACTTCAACTGAGAAAATTCCTCCATAAAATCAGGCTGCAGGAAAGCATGTAGGGCATTTTCTTAATTAGTGATTGAAGTATAAGAGCCTGGCACATTGTGAGTGGAGCCAGACCTGGGTTAGTTGTCCTAGGTTCTATAGGAAAGCAGGCTGAGCAAGCATGGAGAGCAAGCCAGGAAGCAGCATCCTCCATGGCCTCTGCATGAGTTCCTGTTTGAGTTCTTGTTCTTCCTCCCCAAGTTGCTTTTAGTCAGGGTGTTTCATCACAGAACTAGTAACCCTAACTAAGACACATGGTTACCAAAGCTCTTGGCAAAGCCCTATATAGTAGAAAGGGTTTCTGCTGACCACACAAGTCCTTCCTCCTAACTCAAGTATGGGAATTTCCCAAATGCCCTCAGAAGTTAAATAGACTCCAATGTTGATCAAAGAATAAGACGAAGAGGCTGGGGAAATGGCTCAGTCAGTGAATGGTTTCCTGAGCAAATATGAGGACCCAAGTTTGATCCTCAGCACCTAAGTAAAAAGATGGGCAAGGTTTGTAATCTCAGTAGGGAGGTGGAGACATGAGGATGCCTGTGGCTTGCTCACCAGCCAGCCTAGCTGAGGCAGTGAACTCCCAAATTCCCACTAATATACCCTATCTCAAAAAAAAAAAAAAAAAAAAAAAAAAAAAAAAAAA